TCAAGTACCAAAACAAACAAAAAGTCTTGGAAAAAAAAAATAGAGATGGGACCAAGTGGTTAAAAACAAAAATTTAAAAGATGATGCCCCCCCCCCACCCCACACCCTTAAAATTTTTCTGCCTTAGGTTTCCACCTACAAAGATTTTTTCCAAAAATGAATTTAACGAAAAAAGGGAGCCAAAAAGAATATTTTTTTCTTTTAAATTATTTTTTGGGAGAAAATAAAGCAGCCCACATTATGGTGGGGGTGACCAAAAAAACCAACCCCCCCCAAAATTTGCCCCCAGTGAAAATCTGTCGGGAAAAATGGACTGGCCAGCAAGGGTTTGGGACTCACCTCCTTTTGATCTGAAAGTCCCGGGCGGGCCAGCGGGGCTCCAGCAATCAAGACTCAACCTTTCAGCCGGGCAACCCCGGGAACTGATGATACTGGTGAAATTTAAGGGATGGCCAAATTTGAAGACCCCTCCCTTTGGTGTTGTGTTTGCCCGGGGCCCCTGAAATCTGCCCTTTGCATCCTTTTCTGTTCCCTTTGCTGCCCCTCCCTGTTCTGAACCCGCTGCTTGCTACCTTTTCCGACCCCTGGCTTGTGACCCTGACCATCCCCGGGCCAAACCCTCTGTACTACGCTCTTGCTACCTGTTTGATCCCTGGCTTGTGACCCTGACCTTTCCCTTTCTCCCCTGACCCCTGTAAAACGCTGCTAGCTCCCGCTGAACCGGGTTTTTGGGGCCCAACCGACCCATCTCCGCTTGCCCCCCCTAAAAACCTCCCGCCCTATTGATATTGACCCGGCCTGTGCAAATTTTGGGTTTTTATTTTAATGTTTTTCTGTGGGGGTTGGTTTGGTTTTTTTTCACTGTATTATTTTTTTGTATTGCACTGCGTTTATGTTTGTATTTTAGTTTTTTAAAAATTATTTTGTTTTTACCCAATATCTGAAGCCCTGCTTTTCCCCCTGCGTCAGTCACACACCTTTTGGTCAAAATGGGAGCCCTGACATTAAAACCAAAGGCCAATCCTGCCCAAAGTGGCTGCCCCCCGGGGAAAAGGCCATTTTTGGGTTTTGGGGGAAAGGGGATGGATTGGTTTGGGGTTTTGTGTATTTATATCTGCTAGTGTTTGTTGACAGGGGTAGGGCTTATCAAACTCTGAAGGAGTATCCCGGGGATAAACTACTAGAATGAAAAAGGGTTTCGCTCATTTTTCCCTAGTAGATCAGGGCCCCAGGGGTTCTCTAAAGGTGCAGCCTTTTGTTTTGGGGGTTTGTGCTAAAGTTGGTTTCATCGGGTTTTCCCCGAATGCAGGGATGAATTTTTTCCACCTTTTTTGTGCAGCCGGGGTTAAGTCCCTGGTGGGGTTTATTAAGGTTGATGGGGGGTTACTTTCGGGGAGCTTTTATTCCCCCTTTCACCCCCAAGACACAAAAGAGATTTTTTTAAACGCAGTGCATCATTGACCAGACGGGCCCTTTGTTTTAAGCTCAGTTTTGGGTTCAACCCCTACTGCGGGACAGGGGACAGACTTTTTGGCCCCACCCTCAGTCAGTTTAAAAAAAACCAGTCCTGCTTCTAATTTTATTTCCTGTATTCCCACCAGCTCCTCCAGTTACAGCCCAGTAAACTTGGCTATCTACCGGGAAGTCAGTACCCCCGTTCCCCCCCTCGCTGCACCCATCCTGCCTTTAACCCTGTAAAAAAAAACCCCCTGTAGCAACTGCTCCCCTTCCCGTTCCATCCTCCCAGTTTTTTTTCTGTCCCCCAGGGTGCTCCCTTCGTTTTTCAGAAACCCGCGTTTACTTGCAGTTTCTCCCCCTGTTAAAACCAAAAAAAAAAAAGCGAAAATTCTTTTCCAAACCCAAAACCATCCCGGGGCCCGTATCCAAACCGGTGAACCTGCCCTTCCTTTACTCAGCCTGAAGCCTCTACTCAGCCTGAAGCCTTACCAGCCTTTAACCCCTACTCAGCCTGAAGCCCCTTCTCAGCCTGAAGCCCCTCTTTTAAACCCGGGGGCCCCCCCTCTCTTCAGCAAGGGTGCTCTCTTTTAAACCGGGTGCCTCTCTTCAGCCCGGGTGCCCCTCTTTCAGCCTGTTTCCTCTACTCAGCCTGATTTCCTCTACTCAGCCCGATGCCTCTTTCTCACCTAAGCCTTACTCAGCCCGAAGCCTCAACTCAGCCTGAAGCCTTAAATCAGCCTGAAGCCTCCCCCCTCAGCCTGATGGGCCCGCATTCAGGCCTGATGCCTACTCACATGATGAACGATCCCGCCCGAGATTATTTTGGCCAAATTTACTCGATGCCCTCTGTTGATCCAGATGATCCCGGGGACCCGGGTCCAGCCCGCTGTCGTTTCCCCAAATTTACTAGAAACCCCTGTCATACTGGGGACCCCGGTTTCCCACTGCCTTTTCCCGATGACGCGGTGCCCGCTGGCAAGCCCCAAAAAAACCTGACCTGGTGACCCCGTGGGCCCCCTGTATACCTGGTGCCCGATGCCCCTTCGAGCCAGACAATCCGGGTACCTGATGAAACCCCCGCCCACTTTTCTTGGGCCCGTTGAAATCGGGCCCAAAATGTTTTTGCCAACGACTCGGTTGGGCCCCCAAATCTTGCCAGAAAAGGGGAAATCGGTGCCCCCGTCTTGCCAGACGACTCATTTCCCCCCTGTTCCCCCAGTTGAATGATTCCCGCCGTTTCCCGCCAGTTTGGGCACGATGCCCCCCTGTTCCGCCAGTTTTACCGGTTTCCCCCAGTTTTTGCCAGGGCGACCCCAAATGCCCGCAGTCCTTGCCAACGACCCCGGTGCCCGCAGTTTGCCAAAACGACTCGGTTTCCCGGTTTTTTTTGTTTCCCCCAGGTTTTACTCGATGCCCCTTTCCCCCCAGTTGACTCGATGCCCCCTGGTTTTCCCCCAGTTACTCGATTGGCCCCCCCTTTTTCCCCAGGGAAATCGGTTGGGCCCCCAGTCTTGCCAGACGATCAGGGGCCCGCTCTTGCCCGGAAAGACCCCCGGGGCCCGCAGTCCCTTTCCAGGGCGACTCGGTGCCCGGGAGTTCCGCCAGTTGGGCCGTGCCCGCTTTTTCCCCCAATTGACTCGATGCCCGCTGTTCCGCCAGTTTACTCGATTTCCCGCTGTTCCGCCATTGAAATCGGTGCCCGCAGTCCCTTTCCCCAACGACTCAGTGGCCCCCAGTCTTTCCAGACGAATCGGTGCCCGCCCGTCCCCCCCCCCGCCAGAAGACTCGTGCCCGCAAATCTTGGGAAAACGACTCAAATGCCCGCCGTCTTCCAGACGACTCGGTGCCCGCAGTTTCCGCCAGTTGACTCGATGCCCGAGGTTCCGCACAGTTGGACTCGGTGCCCCAGTCGTGCCAGACGACTCGGTGCCCGCATCTGCCAGACGACTCGTGCCCTCAGTCTTGCCAGACGACTCGTTGCCCGCTGTTCCGCCAGTTGACTCGATGCCGCCTTTCCGCCAGTTGACAACATCGAATGCCCGCTGTTCCGCCAGTTGACTCGGTGCCGCCCGTCCAGTTGACCCCTACGGTTGCACGCAGTTCTTGCACACATTGCCAGCAGGCTGCCCAGACGACTCGGTGCCCGCAGTCTTGCCAACACGACTCAATGCCCGCAGTCTTGCCAGACGACTACAAGTGCCCGCCAGTCTTGCCAGACGACTCGTGGTCCCGCAGTTTCTTACGCCAGTTGACTCGATGCCCGAGGTTCCGCCAGTTGACTCGGTGCCCGCAGTCTTGCAAGGACGACACGGGTTGCCCGCAGTGCTTGCCAGACGACTCGGTGCCCGCAGTCTTGTGCCCAGACGAAAAGCTTCCCGGGTTGCCCGCCAGTTCCGCCATGTTGACTCTGTGCCCGCAGGTTCCGCATGTTGACTCGATGCCCGGCTGTTACCGGCAGTTCGACTCATGTGCCCGCAGTCATGCCAGATGTCTCGGTTGTCCAAACGAGTGAGCTGCCTGGTGACTCGGTGCCCGCGCCGCTTCGTCTGGTGGGGACACCCGGAGATTGCTGTTGCTTTCCGCCTGAGGGCCCGGAGACCTGTCGCTCCATCTGGGGGGTCCGGCGCCCGCCGCTGCTCGCCTGAGGGCCCGAGACCTGTCGCTCCATCTGGGGGGTCCGGCGCCCGCCGCTCCGCCTGTGGGGCCCGACGAGACTCTGTATGCTACGCCCGTCGGGGGTCACGAGGCAGCCACGCGCGCCCCGCGCTGATGGGTCCCCGAGTGCCTGTCGCTCCCGCACTGGGGCCCGATGCCTGTCGCCCCGCCTGGGGGTCCGATGCCTGTCTCGCCCCGGCTGGGGGCCCGCTGCCTGTCGACACACGCCAGGGGGGCCCGCTGCTCCGCCCGGGGGCCCAAGTGCTCCGCGGCGATGCTCACGCCCGGGGGAACCGGTGCCCGCTGCTCCGCCCAGGGGGCCCGGTGCCCGCTGCTCCGCCTGGGTGGCCCGCTGCCTGCTGCTTCGCCTGGTAATCCGATGGCACTCTGCACCGGAGTCCTGCCCCGATGTGCCTCTGCCGGAGTCCTGCCCGATGTGCCTACTTGCCCGGAGTCCTGCCCGATGTGCTCTGCCGGAGTCCCTGCACCTATGTGCCTCTGCCCGGAAGAGTTTAGCCCGATGTGCCTGCTGACCGGTGTGCCGCTGCCCGATGGGCCTCCTGCCCGGAGTCCAGCCAATTGTGCCCTCTGCCCAGAGTCAGGCCGCTGCCCGGAGTCCTGCCCGGTGTGCCAGTCTTTGATATCCCGCCAAGTTACCAGACCCGGGCGGTGGAACATTTTGCCCAGCTAGGACTGTTTGGAGCGTCCTGAGGCCGCTCCTTGAGGGGGGGTACTGTCAGGAATGGACTGGCCAGCAATGGTGGGACTCACCTGCCTTTTGATCCTGCAGTACCAGGGCTGGCCAGCGGTGCTCCCAGCAATCAGAGACTTCAACCTTTCAGCCAGCTTAACACCTGGAAACTGATGATACTGGTGTATTTAAGGATGGCCAGAACTTGCAGACTCTGCCTTGGTGTTGTGTTTGTCTGGGCCCTGATATCTGTCCTGCATACTGTTTCTGTTCCTTTGCTGACCCTGCCTGATCTGAACCACGCTTGCTTGCTATACTGTTCTGATCCCTGGCTTGGTGACCCTGACCATCCCTCTGCCTGACCCTCTGTACTACGCTGCTTGCTACCTGTTCTGATCCCTGGCTTGTGACCCTGACCATCCCTCTGCCTGACCCTCTGTACTACGCTGCTAGCTACCTGCTGAACCTGGCCTGTGACCCCGACCCATCTCCGCTTGCTCCCCCTGTACCTACCTGCCCTATTGATATTGACCCGGCCTGCCTGACGACGCTTGCTTGTATGTACTGTTATCTGTGGGTGGTTGGTTTGGTTTGTTTGCACTGTATTATGTTTTAGTATCGCACTGCGTTTTATGTTTGTATTGTTAGTGTTAATAAATTATATTGTTTATCACATATCTGAAGTCTGCATTTCCCTGCGTCAGTCACACACCTCTGGTCACACCTGGGAGCCCTGACAAAATCATAGTAGAGATTTCCTAAAACCAAAGGTATCTATGTCCCACGTGGAGTTTTACTCGTATCTTCAATTCAGAATAATAGGAAAAAGTCATGCAAAATCAATCCCTTATACCCATCAGTGCACTGCATATTGCAATATCTTCTATGGAGTAGGGATTGAGCAAAAATACAAAAACATAACTAACCCTCTAACAGAGTGCAAAACACAGCAGCTGCACCTTCTTAAAACAGAATTTGTCTACATATCTCACTCCCATCATAAATTTAAAAAAATAAGAGGGGTGGGTGACAGCTATTTTATGTGTCTATGATAGAACCAAAAGCCTGCACCAACCAGCAGGACATATGCCTGAGTTTGAATAAGAGTATTCCCTACAGGACAAGGGAACTTGAAACCAGAGATCAAAGAAAATCAACCTGATGCTCAGACAAAGAACAGAATCACCACCAAAAAGGAATGACTACCTCTAAGGGCACACCAACAAATATTGTGAGCCAAAGCAACCACCAACAGGTGGAGCAATACAGTATATCTCTTAAGAGAACCATGCAGTTGAGAGTGACATCTTCAGTGTTTTCCAGCTCAGCCCCAAGATCACTTGCCCTGATATAGAGAGAAATACCAAACACCACAAGGTGAAGGTCTTACAGCACAAAAGTGATATTTAATGGAGTTCAAGTCAAGGGAGATATTAACAGTGGAACTTCTCGAAAAAAAGCAGGCACTGACTGCTTTCATGAAACTGAGGACAGAACTGAAGCCAGAGTCCTCTGGGGTGAAGGCCAGCCTTGTCTGGGGATGCAGAATTTCCCTGAAGAGTAGTTGGAATATCCTTGTAGGGAATCACTCCAAGAACAACATTCTACAAGACAGGAACAGAGGCCCCAGAGTGCAGGGAGTGTAGTAGCACAGGAAACAGCTACAGGGCAGCTGAAAGAGATGCAGTCTCCAAGTAATTAGTCTGTAATGTAACAGGCTTGTCATACACATCTAAAGCTTAGAAGGCCTGATACGCTTGGACCCATCTGGTTTTGTGAATAGCCCCCCTCTTGTAAAAGCAGGGATGCACCTTAATGCTGAAAATGTGCTAGAAGCATTTGCAGATTTCTGGCTTTCTGGACCTATGATCTGAATGGCATCTGCAAGTATGCACTGCTAAGGCAGTTAAGGTAAAGAGCAAATCACCTCTGACCTTTCTTCTGTGATCTAGTAAGAGCATAATATGCCCACTCAAGGCACTACTAATGATATGATATCCAGCCCAAAAGAAAGGATATCGCCCAATGAAAAGACAACTCAGTTGCTCTAAGGATGTCTGACCAGCCAGATGAGCTATGCATTTGTACAGACATCCAAGTCATGTAATAAATAGTTTTATTACTAGTTCAGAAGCTTGTAATAAGACATCATGCCTCGGCAAGAGGCTCCAGACATCTGCTTCATCTACTCCACACCTCCCAGCAGTGAAAGGCAGTGTAATGATCCTCTCAAGGGACTCTAGTCTAACCTGACATGATCTGACAGACCAAAATTACCACCAACACAGGACAGAGGGGTAAAACAGTTAACTCAAACTGCCTTGTAAGGAGGAAATTCAACGTACTATCAGTGAAGTCCCTAAAGGTAAATTTAACTTTGAACTGTCTAGTGATATCTTTGTAAACATTGATCACTGAGTAATTTCACTGAGCATGGGCCGACTGCAATGTGTGTTAGTGAATCCCTTGTCAAAGAGTAACTGCTCTGACACAGACATAGGTGGATCCAGGACCCTACAGAGTTTTCTGAATCTGCATTGAGGAAATCTAAAACAGCGGGTGTAGTGGAAAGTTCTTTACAGCCATTGCAGCGATAAAATATTTTTATAGGCTTATAACAAAAAGCTGACCTCCAAATGCAAGGCAATAAGCACTGCATAAATAAGGTCTGAAACAGCCTTTTGTATATCTGAGTCAATGCAGTAGACTGCAGTGACCAAAAAACAGCCTCTCCTGATTGTCGGGGTGCTGAATCCAAATAAAAAATAATAAAAGGAATTGCAGACCTGATTTGATTCATGCTTTTAGGAAACTCAGGGACAGATTTAGCTGGGGATGATACTGGTGCACGCTTAGAACCCCTATAGCAGAATGATTTAGTAGCTGAATACAAACAGCTAGAAAATCCTTAGTGGATATAAAAGTCCCTGGAATCGGGGGGGGGGGGGGGGTTGTCTCAGCCCCACCTAGCAGAGTTGTATTAGAATCTTCACATGAAAACCCTATAATGATAGCTGTCCTATTCATCTGGTGATATAGAGCCAATAGCAGAGTATGGACTGAGATCACCTATAGCAGGGGGACTATACTCTGTGTGTCTTTGAGAAGACATGCTGCTATGCATGGCAGAGAACAACTAGGACAAATGTAAGGCTTCTGTCCTCCTTATGTGTGAAGGTACATAGGACAGCTAAACCTTTCTCGGCAATGAGTTGACAAAGAAGCAACGTCCAACTTTGTCTTTATTGCAAAGATATAAGAGGTGAAACTGAGGAACAGAAAATAAGGCGCTTAGTAACACTGTCTGCCATGTGACAAAGCATATTATACATTACAGTAAGGCAATGCACATATAAACACATGTAAGACATGTAGGTTACATAAAACACAGATGCATAAGATATAGACATGTGTGTAGACGTACCGACGATGCTATTGTGAACCTGAATGTGAGGGCTGGATCCTACCAGCATACCACAGGAATGGAGTCTGTGATGAGGAAATGGCTGCTATGAGCAGGGCTGATGATGTAATCAGAGTTCATAGGCTACAAGCTATGGAAGCTGAAATGGGTCAAACTTCTACTGTGAAAAGATGCAGTGTATACAAACAGCCACTAGATGGAGCAGTTACACAATGAACAGAGAATTACAAACTGATAAGGCATACTAATAATGCCTAATTAACAAAGAACAAATTGCTGAAGGCATGACACTCCCCGTCTGGTATCTAAAGGATACCACATTAAATCACCCCTGGAGAGAGCAACAAAACCAGTTCAGTAACGGGTCTGAGAAAGAGTTTGGGCTCCTGTTGTCTGCAGACCTTGACCTCCACTTTTCTGACTTTCCCATCTTCACTTGGGAACACCTTGGTTATCAGTCCCAAAGGCCAGTCATTTCTTCTTGACTGAGAGTCTTTGACAAGAACAACATTACCAACCTCCATATTGGGTTTGCTGGTTTGCCATTTATTCCGGACTTGTAGAGTAGAGATGTATTGTTTTCTCCATTTATCCCAGAAGGTATCTGCTAGAGTCTGCACTCGTCTCCACTGACACTTGTACAAGTCTTTAGCACTAAATTCTCCAGGAGGAGCCGATGCTGTACCGACTTTTTGGGTGAGAAGAGTGGAAGGGGTGAGCAAGAAGGGATCTTCTGGATCACTGGATATTGAAGTCAAAGGTCTGGCGTTCATGATCGCCACTACTTCGGCCATGAAGGTTGAGAGGGTTTCATGGGTGAGCCTCGAAGTTCCCAGCTGTAGAAAGACAGAATCAAGGATCCGGCGAGCTATGCCAATCATACGCTCCCAAGAGCCTCCCATGTGAGACGCATGTGGGGGGTTGAATGTCCATTTACAGTCTTGGGCGGCAAGATATCTCTCTACATGGTCACTGTCAATGTTTGAGGGGATATGCAGTTCTTTGCAGGCCCCAACGAAGTTGGTACCTCTATCAGAGCGGATTAGTTTAACTGGGCCTCTGATGGAGATGAAACGTCTGAGAGCATTTATAAAGCTGGATGTGTCTAAAGACTCGATAACTTCTATATGCACAGCCCTGATACTCATGCATGTAAATATGACTGCCCAGCGTTTGCTGTTTGCCTGGCCTCCTCTAGTGTGCCGTGTGGTGACAGACCAGGGACCAAACACGTCAAGACCAACATTAGTAAAGGGAGGTTCTATACTGAGTCGGTCCGCAGGGAGGTTAGCCATCTTCTGTGACTGAAACATACCACGTAGTTTTTTGCAAGTGACACATTTGAAAATAAGACAACTCACAAGTCTTTTCGCTCCCACTACCCAAAATCCAGCTGTACGTAAAGCTCCTTCAGTGAACAAACGTCCCTGATGTTTAGTCTTCTCATGGTAGTGTTGCACAAGTAAAGATGCAATGTGATTGCTTGGAAGTATTATGGGATTACATTCTTTACTCTCGAACTTTGCATTTGAAATACGTCCCCCAACTCTCAACAGTCCATTAGCATCTATGAAGGGGTCAAGCCTCTTGAGGGAACTGTCTTTAGGAACACTCTTTTGATTTTGGATGAGTTCAAATTCTTGAGTATAAACCTCTTGTTGGATACAACGGATGATAACGTCTCTGGCCTGTGTGAGCTCATCCACTGTATGGGCCTTGTGACAGTAATGCCAACCTTTGCAGTGATCTGATCCTGTAGGTGTGGCTCTAAAGGATCTGGCTATGTGGATCAAGCCGGCTATAGCTCTGTTCAGTGATTTCCACGTAGAAAACTTGTTGAATCGTTTGGATCCAAGCTCTTTGTGAAAAACTCTTGTGGTGAGTACAGAAATATGAGGACGAATCTCTGCATCAGCATTTGGTTCTAATAGCTGAAATGAGTATTTCTCCAGGGTGTCAAGTACAGGTTTGTAGAGGAATGGTGGCCCTGTGAACCACGTAGTATCTTTAAGGTGAGCTGCTGGAACAGCTCTTGTAGCATGGTCTGCTGGGTTGAGGTCAGTTGGTACATAGCACCACTGGGTAGGCTGTGTTGACCTCCTAATTCTTTGAACTCTGTTATGAACATAGACATAGAATCTCCTAGTCTCATTGTAAATGTAGCCCAATACTACTTTGCTGTCTGTATGAAA